CACAGCGTGCCGTTTTCGTCACGCTGTGATGACGTCACGTACGCGCTTTTGTCGAGCGCGCTTTAGTCTACCGCGGATTTGTGGTGGAACAGTGTGTGTGGGGGTGTCATTCGTGAATGCACTGGGGTTGCGAGGGGGGATTGAATTATGGGTATGGGCATGCGCATGCACGCTATCACACACACACACACAAACATGCTTTTGGCACCTGAGCCAAAAAAGGTTAGCCATCACCAAAATAGACTGTATCTCCTAAATTGGGAGGGTAAATAGCATTTTTCTTAGCTCTTTCTCTCCTGGGAATATCAACAAAGCTGTGAAATTAAATATTATTATTTTCTTCCCATGTCTTTGAAATCTGTCAGCAACTCTAAAACACTTCGGACTGAAGAATTGTTCCTCATCATCATTGCCAGCATTCCTAATTTTATTCTTAAATGCCGGTAAGAGCAGGAAAAATGTCCAGAGAATTTCCAGCTGAGCAGGTTTCAACTTGCTCCTGTGGCTGTATAAAGGCTGCTTGAGTGGGAAGAATCAGCATGCAAAGCTTTCTGCAGCTTGGAGCTGTCAGCTTCTGGTCAGTCTTCAGCACTTGACACAGAAGCAGTGACGAGGGTGGGGGGGGATAAGAGAGAAAAGTGGCAGGTTCAAGAGAGGGAAAGTTGAAAGCTTTGCTTTTGCTCAGATGATAACGCATCCAGATAGCGTCCAGATTTTCAAATGTTGCTGAGAAGGATGCTTCCCCCCCTCCCCTCCCATTCCTATTGCTCACCTCCTGCTCATAGCAACAGTGAGGATAGCTGAAGTCTCTTGCCAGCTTCAATAAGTAGAAAAGGTGAGTTATATAAAAGGCTATCTGACCTGCTTTTTAACTGAAAATCGTTGGAGCTAACCACCATGATACAAGGGATCTCTATTTTCTTTTTTAACACCGCCACTTTCAAGCATCCAATTATCCCCGGTTTCTAAAGAGGAATTGTTCAGCCATTTGAGCCTGTGCTACAGGCAGCATCTCTACTGCCTGATAATGTAGTAGCCGTGTCTCTACTGTGGTTTGCATCTCTAGAAAGAGGGGGACAATCTAGTTGCTTGCTAAAGAAAAATAAGATGGGATTGCATATTTCTTCCTGTTGACCTTTTGTCAATCTCTTCTGGCAATAATGACCCCATGGCTTTCCTAGCCAGACTGCGACCTTTAACGAATACTTGGTGTTAGCTGTCATGGTCACCTCTGATTCTATTTTCTCCTTGTGTCTCTGGACTTTAGCAACTGCTTGCTCAAATCAAATCATTTATGTTGTATTCTCCAAGCACCAGATAACCTTTACATTTGCAATTTGACTTGAGTTCTGCTCTTCAAGCCCTTGCTTGCTTTCTCTAGTCAGCTCCATCCATGCCAAGAGGTCCATGCCATGACTATTCCCAAGGTGATGATTTAACCAGATGACAGTAGCCTGAAATCATGTCAGAAGCCTCCCCATCCCCTATAGTAATCCAAATATTAATAGATCAAGGATTGTTGTTGTTAGTTGCGAAGTTGTGTCCGACCCATCGTGACCCAATGGACAATGTTCCCGCAAGCCTTCCTGTCCTCCACCATCCTCTGGAGTCCATTTAAGCTCACACCAACTGCTTCAGTGACTCCATCCAGCCACCTCATTCTCTGT